GAAAAATCTGGGTGTCCATGCTAGATTTTCCATTCACTTCATGATTCAGGGCAAGATTTTTATCCACCTAAGAGATCATAGTTCTTATTCCAGAGTCATGAGGGTTCTGTACTGTAACACATGTAAATTGCTTAGTATAGGGACTGCCATAAAATGTGATCAATAAATATTAGCTGCTTAACTATGTAAGACAGTATGTTAAGATTCTGGCCCTTTACACTAGTCTCCTCAGACTGCCATAACAAAATTCCAGAGATTGGCTGACTTAAATAACAGAAACTAATTTTCTCGCAATTTTTGGAGGCTGCAAGTACAAAGATCAAAGTTCCATCAGGGTTGGTTAATGGTGACACCTCTCTTTCTGGCTTACAGACAGCCACTTTCTTACTGTGTCATCACATAGCCTCTTGCCGGATGCATGTGGGATCTCTGGTGTCTTCCTGCTTTTATTAGGACACCAGTTCCATTGGGTTAGGGCCCCATCTTTATGACCTCATTTACCTTAATTATGTCTCCAACATATGGATTTGAAGGGGACGCAAGTCAGTCTATGGCACCCTCCTTTATCTGACATTCCTGACTCAACTCTCTCTAGGGATACAAATGCCAGGCTCCTGCCATAATAGCATTGCATGCCAAAAAGGCACATCCTCCCTTTTTTCTCTGGTCAAAATTATACCCAGTTCAAATGCGTAAGTAACTCATCTTCCATGTTTGCTCCTATGGTCTTTTGGTCAAACCATTAACGTAGCTAACATATGAATGGTATTTTTCAATTACATATTTCTTTCACATACAATGTTTTCTGTTAAATCTCATAATCATTGTATGATGTAATTACTGTTAATGACCTTCTTTTATGAATGTGGCAACTTAGCCTCAAGGATGTTGTTTATTCATCCTATAAAATTGAGAACATTAAAAAATGTGCTTGTTTGTAGAGGATGGTACTATTCGTTGACCATGAACCATTGAAAGAGGAGCTGATTTTATGGAAAAAGATGTTTTATTTGACACACAGTGAGTTTGAGGTGTCTATGACACATCCAAGTGTGCAAATATTATGTACTCATTTAACATAGCCAGTCTTGGACTGATATATATTTTGGAATTTGATCTTCTCATTTCATAATGTTAGCACAAATAAGTGGTAAGGGACAAATAACCTCTTTTATTCTATGTGTTAGTGGAGAATAATGCTAAGTCATTTGTTTATTCTATATACATGCTCAACATTCTTTTTCTTCTCACTTTTTCCATATATTTTAATTTCTAAACAGTGTTTTTTCTTAAATCATAGAAGCGGACAGGATCTGAAATAAATGGCATCCTAAGAGATGATCTAAAGTTAGTCCTTTTAATTTATTGATGAAGAAGCACAGTATGGTTTAAATGATTCATCCAAGGCCATAGTTAGTAGTCACATAAGTAACATTCATATTTCCTTTTTTAAAGTTTGTACCTCTTAATCATATTCATAATCATAACATTCATATTTTCTCATTCCAATCAGAAGCCCGTTCCATTATACCAGTGATTCTCAACCTAAACTATGTGAGAAGATCAGTGAATAAAGTCATTCAAATGTCTTTTAGCCCTGAATACAATCCTCTCTCTTATAGAGTTGCGGTGAACAACTGTTTTATTTTTCTATTTTTCATTTATTAATGTTTATTTATTTAATTATTTTGAGAGGAGGAGAATCCAGATGGAGAGAGGGAGATAAAGTATCCCAGGCGGGCTCCATCATGTCAGCACAGAGCCCCATGCGGGACTGGAACTCAGGAACCATGAGACCATGGCCTGAGCCGAAATCAAGAGTCAGCTATTTAACTAACCGAGCCACTCAAGCACCCCATAACTGTCTAACTTTCCTTAACCCAGATTTTAATCATAGAATCCCCTTTCCACCATGCATTAATGCCAGTAGAAAATGCTTTGGGAAATGATGCAGTATGCCATACTTGGGAATGACAATGGTGGGCTTAAATGCTTGGTAGGAAAATCACCCTGCCGAGACGAGGTCAGGCTAAAGGAAAGGAAAGAATTTCATTTGTTTGATAGATTTATGCTGTTACTGGAAGACATAGGGCCCATAAGTAAAATAGCTTTCGTAGTGAATAAGTATGGGATTCTTTGAGCAACTCGCCTGGAATGTATTAACCACATTATAGTGTAGGTTTTTTCAACCTATGATTTCTCTTAGATCACCAGAATGCAAATACACTAAATGACGACTAAGAGGGATTCCAGTTGGAGAAATATTCTTTCCGTGGTGATCGCTAGGAACAAGGTAACGAAGTCATTGTGCTTCGTTTGACAGGGAAATTTGGGGAAAGACAGGAAACTAAGCCCAGGGTTAGGGGTTTGATAGAGTAATTCTGCTGCTGTGAACTAGTAAAGACTGCTAACGGGAATTAATCATGATGGAAATCTCAGCCTAGTTTTATGGCTGTGCCCTGACTTGAATTTGAACGAAAGAGAAATATTACTAATAAAATTTACATACGAGCAGAATGTTTCTGATTTTTCAGGACTTTCTTTTAGGACTAAAGATCATTCATGCAACCTGTGTACATCTTAACGATACACATCACTTTCACCAAAACCATAGACGGTCCTAAGAAAAAATATGTGTGAAAATAGGGAGCAATATAAATACTTCAACGTAAATGTACATAATTTTCAAGCTATTATAATAAGAGAAACTCATTATTATCCTGTGCCAGCTCTAAATGCAACAAACTTGACTGCTTCCAAAATGTATTATGTTTATGTATAAGTACTGAATAAGAAAATTTGAAACGAATATTAATTTGCATTTCTATTGCAGTTTAAGTAAGTTCACATTTTAGATGTTATAACTAATGAATTAAGCAACATAAATAATTTAACATCAAATATTTCTTGTTAAAAAGATGTCCTGCTAATTTAAAATTTTTAAACGCTGCAAATGAAGAATATAACCTAAAAGTGGAAAGGCCATATCAATGTGCTGAAGATTTTGTCAGCTCGTTGTAGCTGTAAACTTAGAAAAATCACAGATCAAGAAATATTCTGTTTTTAAAATTATGTTTTGAAAGTATAGCCTTTACCCCATATGTATAGAGAGTTAATCAAATGTATAACTACTATCTGTATATTAATGGAAAGAAAACAATTGTGGCCAACACCTCTGAACTTAGAGGTCTGCCACTTACACACTCTATGAACATAGACTCTTCTATGTCTTTCAGGAAGTGAAATAATCCTGTAAATTGTAAACCACCAAGCAAATAATAGATGTTTAACTGGACTTAATACTACTTCTCCTGATCCCTAATGTGCTAAAAGATAACGAATTGTTAAATTCCAGTAAAGGCAAATATCATTCCTTCAACGAATACTTACTGATATCCAGCAATGTTCAATGCTCCATACTAGGTGCTATGAGTAAGACAAGTTCTTGACTTCCATAAACTTATATCCCAGGAGAGTAATCGTTGTTTTTTTTTTTAATTTTTTTAATATTTATTTATGTTTGACAGAGAGACAGAGTGTGGGCAGGGGAGGGGCAGAGACAGAGGGAGACACAGAAACTGAAGCAGGCTGGAGGCTCTGAGCGGTCAGCTCAGAGCCCCACGTGGGGCTCTAACCCATGAAACTGGGAGATCATGACCTGAGCCAAAGTCAGAGGCTTAACCAACTGAGCTACCCAGGTGCCCCTCAGAAGAGTAATTCTTTGCAAATACAAGGATGACAGTAACTGTCATGAGCAAGTTACACATGAGTTACCATGAAATTGCAGAAGCTAAAATTTGTACTTCAGATTTTAATGACCGGAGTCAACTTTATTACAAAATGGCATTCATACTGTGTCTTGAAGAATGAGTGAGATTTGGTTTGCAAAAATAGGGTAAAGAGAGTTCCAAAGGGAATAAAAATTAGGAGGGCTATAGATATGGCTCAGGCACTACAGCAAAGATTGTTGCAGTTCGGAATAAAGGATAAATTAGCAACGCCCTCTTATTTGCAACCTGTAGGGAACCCATCAGATTGGGCCTTTTGTTTTAAATTCAAAGTTTGGTCAATATGTTCTCTCCTTTTTAGGCGTCCTAAATACAGGTTTTTACACAAACCAAATTCAACCGCATGTTTGTCAACGATTAAACCTGGACTTCAGTTCAGGTGTTGTCCACTCACCGAACACTCTCAAAAAACGAGATGAGAATGCTCTACCGAACAGGCTGCTTTGAATCTGTTTCCCAATAAATAGCTTTCTAAGTCTGCGTTACACCCAGTAGAGGCATTTCTAACGCACATTACACACCACACCCTTCGCTTATGCATTTAATAGGTGGTTGGACTTTATAGGATTTATCGAGGCACACAGGCCGACAGCCTTCAAATTAGTGGTGGCTCTATGTGAAGTCATAGATGTTTCCTCACGGAGACTCAACCATCGTCTTAGAGTTGTAGCTCTGTGTAACTAATATTACATATTTTAGGGGCTAGTCTACATTCCAGGCCCTAAGGCGTGGGCCGCAGGGCTGCGGTGCGCCGAGGGAGGAGGGGTTCCTGGATGGTGAAAACAGGCCAACGCCCAGGGAACGCGGCGTCCCCGCCAGTACAAAAGTTACCACCCCACCTAAAGCGGGGGGCGAAGCTCAGGAAAACCGGCGGCCACCAGAGCGTGCCTAAGCGCTTCCTACCCCCCCACTTCCGCTTCCGGGGAGGCGACTCCCGGGTCCACCGGGCGGGGGCGGGGGCGGTAGCGAAAGGGAAGCCGGAAGTGGCCCGGCACTTCCGGCACGGGAAACTCTTTGCTGCCGCTCCGGCTGGCTTGACAGGCGCGGTCTCGGCTAGTAGCTCTCTCTCCTTTCGCCTTCCGCCCTCCGCCCGTCCGCCCTCCCAGCTCTTTTGCCGCTGCCGTCCCACAACTCCTGTCCCTGAAGGCGCCCCTTCCCCATGTTCCGGGGCGGGAGTCCTGAAAGCGAAGACCCGCTCGCCGGTACCCCATCATGTCCGAACTGACTAAAGAGCTGATGGAGCTGGTGTGGGGCACCAAGAGCAGCCCCGGTCTCTCTGACACCATCTTCTGCCGCTGGACACAAGGTACCCTGACGGGGCTCTGACTTCCAGCCGCTTCCTTTGCCCTGCGAGAGTCTAGCTGCGACGCCGCCGGCGCCACAGCTCCCCTGGCTTGCCCGGCACTCTGTCCCGATTCCCGTGCTCAGCTCGGACACTGGACTTTCTAGAAACGCCCTGCCTGTCTCGGGGTGGGGGGAGGGGGGAGTGGTTGAGTAGGAGAACGGTTGCAGCTGTCCCCTAAGGACCCGAAGCGCCTCTGCCACTCCCTGGGCTGCCCTCCGGCAGGATGAGAGAAGGATGGTGGTTGGGCTGCAGTGTGTGACACTGAGGGTGTGCCCCGTGCCCCGGTGTCAGTTTCGCAGCCAGTGTTGCGGCTTCCCGAATCCGTACCCACTGTCAAGGCTTCGTGTTATTGGCGTGTGGTTTAATTTTGGCCAGAGGGGAGTCCACAGGAAAGTCAAAGTGGCCAATTCCAGAAGGCAGCTTTGTTGTTTGTGTTTTAACTGTGTGGTCGGACGTAGTCCTCGGCGTAAAAATACCAGTGTTGCCTGCTGTCAGGTGCTCTTTTGACCCAAAGTATCCCCAGTTTTGAGATGGTTTAGTTATCTGTTACAGTTCAAAGGAATGTGGATCACAGCACTTCCCGTGCTGGTCTAATTATCCAGACAGGATTTTGAGTTATGTAAGAAGTTTTATTATTACGAACCCTAAGGAAATAAAAATGACCATTTATTGTATTCCTCCGCCGTGCCAGGCTCTGCGTTTGGCACTTTGTACTAGTAATTACCTGTAATTCTTAAGTTTTAATGATAAAACACAACTTTGCACATTACTTAAGGTGACTTAAGAAAGACTGAAGTTAAGTGAGGTTACAAGCATAGTCTTTGGAGTCAGGAGGATTCGTGATGTAAGTATGTAAAACATAGGCCAGTAAATGGTAGCTCTTCATTTCTATTGTTAAATCATTTATTTACAGAATCGTGTTCTCAAAGGATTTGGGGGAATTTTAGCATAGTAAATCTAAGTTCCTAGTTCGCAGTGTGTATTTTGTAAGAAGAATTCAGGGTTGAAGGAAATCGCTTCCTCTCTCTTAGATACGCCTCTTTTAAGAGCTGGTAAAATTAGAATCGTAATGTATTACAGGTTATTACAGGTTATTTAGTCCATCACTCTTATTTTGCAGATGAGGAAAAGGAGTCATGAAGCTAAATGACCAGGCCAGAGTCACACAAATGGATAGAAAGGGAGTGAATTACAAGTCTCCTGATTCCTCACACAGATTTGTTTTCACTGATAAGTTTTCAAACCTTAACATGGAATTGCTTTTGTACTTTTTACACATTTGATTACGTCACTGGAGTAGCATTTTCTGAAATCTGCATTTGCAGATTTTAAAGCTTGCTTTCTACGTTGACTTCGTTTTATCCTAATAGCGAATAGCCCTGAAGTCTACAAGGCTGTGAAGCATTAAGAAAACTTTTACTTGCCGTGTAATCACCGTTAATTAAGCATGTACAACGTAGAATAAGATCGTGTCCGGCCTTGTTTATATTAATACTGTGATGAAGTTTCAAGGAGGATTGAAAGGCACTTCTACTGGTTAAGAGAGGGCTTTGGAACAGGTGTAGTTTGGTTCCAGGTTAAAGTTATTTCACTTCCTCAGGCCTCAGTCTCCTTCTCTGTAAAATGCAGATAATAGTAGTGTCAACCTTACAGGGTTGTTGTGAGGATTAAAGGCATATAAATACATTGAGGCACTTAGCACAATATCTGACATAGAGTGAACGCTCACACAATGGAAGTCCGTTAACACTTGATTTAAAAATTGTTTCATTGTAGGCTAAGCCAAAGATCACTCTCTGGCCGTGAGCTGACAGTTACAAGAAATTATTGTTTATTTGATGAATAATCATGTTGTTTTTACTCTTCTTTCTTTTTTATTGAAGGATAGTTCATACATGATAACCACTATTTAAACTATAACTTTATAATGATACGAGAACGCTCAGCCAGCTTGTAGTCCTGTAGGAGTTCCTTAACGAGAATCATTCAGTCAATACCGTTTACATTTTTTTTTCTTTTTAGAGTGTGTTTATATCGTGGATAGATAATTCTTCATGGTCTTACACTGATCAAGATTTTCAGGCAGCCAACTATGTATTTTTAAGTTACCACTTTCGAATCAGAGGGAGGTTGTTATTGGTTTTGCTTTGTTAACTGTTACATTCATTTATTCGTTTAGAGGCAGAAGTCATTGCTGAGGATCGCTTTGGCGGTCATTTGGGATTTGAGCATAGGCACAGGACGCGGCTCTGCTGCACTTGCCTTACAGCATTTGTAACGTGACACCAACTTTGGCTCTAGTTCACAGTCTGTCACTGTGTTTTGACAACTGGAATCGTAACGAGGTTTTTGGAAGCACGTTAAAAGGGTGAGATGTTTAGGTAAATATTTGTAAAATTATGTTTAGGGATATTCCATTTATGAGACCATATCGATTGGTCACATTAAACGTTTTTGATGCGTTTAAAACAAGCTGCAGGGGTTGGTGCAGCCCAGAGTTGCTTTTTTTCTCTTCATTGATCTGCCAGTTACAGACTGTACATGACAGCAGTGAGCCACAGAAGTGGCACACGGTCGTTGTTTTATTTCACTTGGCAGTTTTAGATAATTCTCTTCTGCAATTCCTTTTTCTTAAAAAAAAAAAAAAAGGGTTTTGTGGGTTTGTTTTTGCCAGTTTTTCTTTCAAAGACGTACTTTTAAGGTTTGCAATTATTTTCTAACTAGGAAATTGAGTCTCTCCTGCCGCCTTCCTTCCTGCTCTCTTGCCTGTGATAGTTTTTTAAGAAAAGTGTGTATTTTCTACCTCTTATTCAAAAGCACTGTCTGTCCTCCTTGCCTTCTTCCCGAAACACACTACAACAGTGTTCCAGGCAGCAGTGTTGCAGGTTAGACTTGGTGGGATGGGAAGGACAGCAGATAATGCGCATAGCATAAATTGAGCATAAGTGATAGTTAGAAGGTAAAGAACTAGGGATTGTGCAGTGGGGTAGTGTGGCTAGGCCTCATTTTAAGATGAGATTTGAGCAAACCTTGAAGCAACTGAGTGAACTGTGCAGTTATCTGAAGAAAGGGTGTTCCAGGCAGGGAGGATAGCCACTATAAAAGACTTAATGCAGAATATTCCTTGCTTTTTTGTTCAAGGAACAGGAAGGAGACTAGTTCGGCTAGAGAAGGAATGAGGGAAGGGGAGAGTAATAAACGATGATGTAAGACCTCATTTTCATCCAGTGGCCTAGAAAGCCTTAGAGGCCATGGTCAGAACTTTGATGTTTCTTCTGAATGAAATGAAAGGCCATTGAGAGGTTCAGAGCAGAGAGAGACGACATGACAAGTTTTTAAAGGACTGATCTAACTGCTGTGTTTGAGGGTAGACTGTAGTGGCTTGAGTGAGACAGCAAGATGAAATGATAGACAAAGGCAGTAATGCAGCGGGGAGGAAGTGGTGACTTGGACCAATGACAGTAGCACTGGAGATGATGGCAGGTGGTCGCAGTGACCAGCTCCCAGCAGAACCTAAGTCATTTAGTCATTAGACTTATTGGGAATATTTGTGGGGTTTTTTTGTTTTTCAGTATTGATTGTCTAGTTCAGTGTTTGGCAAACTTTTTTCTGTAGAAGAGTCACTGGCATTTATTATTTTTGTCTTAAAACTCATCTCTGCCATTGCAGCAACTGCAGCCCTAGATAATATAGGTGTGGCTGTGTTCCAAAACTGCATTTACAGAAACAGGTCAACCCCTGATCTAGATTATAAACTCTGAGAAACCATTTTTTCTTTTTTCCCCCCCTTTCCTCTAAGCTTTATTTTATTATTTCATCTATAAGATTAGCCAGAAAGGGAGAAACACAATTGCCATTTATACCAGTGCCTTGTTTTGGGGGTGAGGTGGGGAATGGAGCTGTGGTTGGTTCAAATTAGAGTTTGGACTTTGGGTATAGGACAATTTTTGTTATGCAATATGAAGAAAAAATAAAACTTAACAAATAACTTAGGAAAAGTTACGTATTAGGAAAAGTGAGGGATCGTTTTATTTTAAAGTATTTAAATATAAAGTATTTAAGTATTTATTTGAAGTACTTAAGTGTAAAATGTATTTACAAGTTAATACGTTTGTTATAATGTGATTTAACATTTTACCAAAATAATAAAGTGATATGCCAGTGTTATTAATTTTTCTTCTAAAGTAAGAATAATACTGTGAGATCCTATCATTTCAGAGGTGTTTGTTGGTGGAAGCCTTTTATTTCTCTCAAGAATAGTTACTCCTTTCTCCAACCTACCTGAATCATGTCATCTACAATCCATTTCTTTCAAATTTAAAATTTGTGAGCTTATATGAAAAAGTTAATTTCTTGGTACTTTGAATACATGTTTTTCAGTTTAAAGTATCTGTCATAATATCTTAAATTGTATTATACTTTACAGTTTTGGGAAGTCTTATTTAATCCTTGCAACAACCCTGAGAGATAGCAAAGGATAATTGTAGTTTCCTGATTTACATAGATGAGGAAACTAAGGCCCAGTTCAGTTTTGGCTCAACCATTATCATCGAGTTTGTAATGACAAACCAAGTTTTTTTCCTCCAGGCTTTTGTTTACATGGGGATCCAGAATTATGGGGACAGAAGTTGTAAAACTGGTTTAAATAATGTATATATGCATAGTAAGTCACATGAAAGTGAAAGGTTAGAAAATTGAAAAGAAGTTCATGGCTCAGGTTTAAATTAGAAGCTATAAAACAGATTTCATGTCTGTAATACTGTGGAATGTGATACAAAATTATATATTTAGGATCAGATGCTTTAGATGGCTAATTCTGGATCTAATCAGGAAAAACAACCATTTTGTGAAAAGTTAATTCCTTTTAAAAGTAGGAAGTAATTTAAATATGAGAATACAAAAGAGAGAACTCTATATCCTAAAAAATTTGAATTCAAGCACAACCTTATTATGAAAGGAGA